TAAAGGTGGATCCTCCAGTAGCGGGACTCAGACATGCAGTCTGCCCAGTAACCAGCCCTGGATCCCAGTCTCCTCCGTTGCTGACACGTGGGTTCCCAAGGCTGCCACACTGCTCCGGTTGCTGGTACTGACTGTCACACTGGCCAGGGCTTTCCAGGCCCCAGGAGCTGACCTGCCTGATCTGGAGAGCTGCTCCCAGTGGCTGATGGTGACGGGTTTCACAACCGGGCACCGGAGCTGATGGGCCAGGTCTGGGAGGGTTGCAGATGGGATGGTTGTTCCTTGCAAGTCCTTGATTTGGGTTCCCACCTGCCACTGTGCATCCCTCTACTCCTCTGGCTTGTGCGGGTGGGCTTGCGGTGGGCTTACTTGATGCTCTCTGCTCACAGCTGCGCTCATTTGTATGAGGATGAAGCCCTGGCTTCACCACAGCATTCTGCTCTCCACATTTTACCCAGTTCTGTGATGGTAACTGAAGTGTGAAGAGCACAGAGGGCAAAATAGACAGTTATTCTGTCCAGAAAGGTAACACCAAGGACCATCTGAGTTTGGCGGTTCCTTTAACCCATCAGGCTGTTTTCCTAGCTGACTCCAGTGGGACGCCACTTCTTGAAGGTGATGGAAACTGAAGGTGGATGAACAGTCAGGATGTAAGCTCTTGTAGCAATGCAGGTGATGCACTGTATCTCCCTTGAAACTTGCCTGCTTCCCCTGCAGAATAAGCATCAACCTTGGGGACTGCGGCTTTGCCTCTGTGACTTTGAAGTGAGCACCCTGCCTGCACCCAGGGACAGCCCCACACCAGAGCCCCATGGCACCACACCAGCTGGTGAGAAGCCTGGGCCTTCTTGTCTTGCAGATCCACTCCCTCCAGGATGCTGTCATCTCAGGAGGACCATTTTCCTTCCATGGAGGGCAGCACTGGCTTGCGCAGCCTTTTGGTAGGCACCAGCTTGCACCAACACAGGGTTGTTGTAGCGGGTGCAAGTGCTGGTGTGAGCTCCCAGTGTGGCCATCACTTAGGAACCTGTGGTCCCAGCCTTCGCTGAGAGTGGCTGCTGGCAGCTCCCAGGAGGAGCAGCCATCTTGCCCAAGCTTATCCTCAGTGCCTCGTCATCCTGCCGCAACAGCACAGTTTCACAAGTGCCCCTGAGACACCTTCTCTTGCCCGTCCCCAAGGCACCCTGCCACACTGACAGGGTGAGATCCCTCACACAGCTCTCTGCAGAACAAGACACTGTGTTTATTTACAATAATAGAGAACTTTTGAAGAGCAGGAGCTGCAGCACGCCTAGCCCTGCCACTGCACAGTGTGGCAGCTGTGCTCCGAGACAGAGCTCTCCAGAGATGGAGACAGCTTCCTTCACCACCAGCAAATCCTCTCCTTGACGAACCAGAGGATGCTCCTGGTTGACACGGCTGCGGTGTCCTGGGCATCGTGGGCTGGGCGCAGTTGGCAGCAGCATGCATACGTGATGGCAGGGACACTGCAGTGCTGCTGCCAGGATGGGCTGTACTGTCTGGGGGTCCCTTCTGGGCTGGAGGGTGTGAAGGTGGGAGGTTCCACGGCCGTCTGGGCTGGCATTTGCTGGGGGAAGCCAGCAGGAGCCCACTGCAAGTCCGTGCTGCTGGAGGTGCCCTGGCACCATGCCCCTGAGCCCGGGGAGCTCTCGGAGCTGCCAGGGCTCTGCCTCCTCAAGGACCACCACCTTCGCTGTTTGTGGCCTGTCTCAGCCCCATGGGGCTTGGATGCTGCAGCCCCTACTTTGCTGTTGGCTGCTCCTGCTTTGCTGGTTTGCTTCTGCTGCAGCCCGTCCCGGTCCGTCTGGACATGGTGGTTTGGCATCAGCAAGGGGGGAGAGGCACTGCGCGGCCCCAGGGGCCCATCCCCAGCCCACTGCAGGTTGGGCAACGACTGCTGCAGCATTGCCATGGACTTCTGCACTGCCACGGGGAGCCCTTACAGATTGATCTCCAGGAGCTTTCTTGTTGTGTGCATCGACAGTCTGCTGCACACCTCCTGGTCAGATCCAGCCTTGGCATGACGACAGGCGCTGCCGCATGGGGCTGGCTCCTCTCCTCCACATCGGCCTCAGACCCGCCCTGGGTGGAGATGCTGCTCTGACAGCTGACATCTTCCTTTGACGGGATGAAAGCTGACAGAAACAGGGTCAGGGTCTCCTCGGTGGGGTTGGTATCCCCCCACAGCCTCCACACTTCCTTCTCCCTGGTGTTGCCCACAATGGCGTTCGCCTTCACCTGCAGCGAGGGGCACAGCCTGCTCCGCAGCAAGGGCTGGCTCTGGCCTGGTCGGATGAGCTTGGGCAGGACACAGCAGCCCTGCTGCTGCACTGCTTGCTGCTGGGACAGCTGCACTGGCACGGGCAGGACCCCCAGCTGCACCTCCAGCCTTTTCCTGGCCACGTGCATCCGGTCTCTGCTCACACCCCCGGCTCTGAGGGAGCAGGCAGAGCTCCTCTCCACAG